GTGTTACTCATATTCTACTCCTTCTAACCCTATTAAATCATTCATAACACGCTGGCCTTTCATGCTTTATCATATTCAACCAGCTCATATTCGTTGGGATACGTTCTCTCGTCTATTATCCGGCTGGACCACATCGTAACCCACACCCCCATCTTCACATAGGATGTTTCGAAAACGGACCTCATCCACCCCTTTGGCCTCTTGGAGTTCTTGCGCACGTTGTTTGGACTCCGTAACGCCTCCTTAACATTTCCTAGGTTGGTAGACAGGGTTTTCCGTGGCTTTTCCTTACTCTTTGCCTATATTGACGACATTTTGGGGGCTAACTTTACTGCCGAGGAACACATGGAACATCCCACAACGGTGTTTGATCGCCTTCAAATGTTTGGCGTTGTCCTCGACCCGCCAAATGTGTCTTCAATGTGTCTCCCTTGAGTTTTTTGGGCACTGGGTCGACTAAAACGGCAGCCATCCTTTGCTTGCCAAGTCTGCAGCCACCCCTGACCTCCTACTTCCATCGCCCAAGCGGCAGCTTTAGCATTTTCTGGGCATGATGTACTTCTATCGCCGGTTTCCTCTAAACTGTGCTGGCACCATTCTGCCGCTCATAATTTTTTTTATCTACTTCAGAACGTTCATTCTAGCTACCCGCAGACGCCCTGGCTGCTTTTGGCCGATGCCACACTCTTGAAACATCAATCCCTTATCTTACCGTCTCCCTTATGGTTGACGCCTTTAATGTTGCAGTCAGCGTGGTGCTTCAACCGCACTTTGCAGGCCAAATTAAATCCTTAGCTTTCTTTTCTAAAAAGCTAACACCTGACGAATTGCGTTACAGGACATTTAGTCGGGAGCTTCTGGGTGTCTACTATAGTTGAGGCTAAAACGGTTGAGGCTAAAACGGTTGAGGCTAAAACGGTTAACCCTAACAGCTACAATCTTCCCGGCCCGGTTCCTTAGGAGATGGTAGAAGTCTTGGGAAGGCCAGAGTAGTAGGAATAATTTATTGTGTACACAAAGGAACGAAAAATAGGTGGAGGGAAGTTGGACTTCGGGGCACACGTCATTCCGCTGGAGCGCCGTGGTCCTAAGTCACGTTTTGCGGCCGAGGGTAGGGAAAACGAGACTTGTTCGAGTGGTGCTTGGGCGGCCGCGAGAACCTAGACGCAAGTGTGTGTGTCCAAGTGGAATTAGGTTAAGTCTCTGCAGGTCAGCGCGACTGTAAGCGCTAACTGAGGTATTGGATGACCTTGAAGCAGCTGGTTTTGAACAATGACGCCAGCCAAAGCAATAGAGGGCATCAGACAGCAGAGACCACTAAAAGTGCTGGTGCCGCGACCCGGGGAACGAACCGGGGACATTTAGATCACTATGAAACACTTTTGGCACTTCCTCGGGGGCAGAGACTCTATCGTTTTCTCCGATCGTGAACCTCTTTCCTATACCTTGAAGTCGCATTCTGCCAAGTTGAACCCCTGGAAGCCTCGACAACTGGATTTTATCTCTCAGTTTATCTCGGCCATCCGCTATATTGACGGTCACCCAATGAAGTTGCTGAAGCACTCTCCAGACACTCACTTGCCGACCTGCACCTAACCTGACTGCAATGGTCACCGTCCATTTGTGCCACCATCCCTTCGCCACACTCTTTTCTCCTCCCTGCACAGGCTGTCTCATTCTAGGAGTCGAACAACCGACAGATTGACCTCTAACCGCTTCGTCTGGCCTGGAATGTACAAGGGCCTCAAAGCTCGGACAAGGGCTTGCCTGAGCTGTAGACAGAGTTAGGTCCACCGGCACAACAAGGCACATATTGGCACCTTCCCTAGCCTTGGTGTAGGATTCAGTCATGTTCATCTGCGCATCGTAGGCCTCTTGCCTCTGTCCATCCACCCGCGTGGATCGCTTCACCTGGTGGCCGGAGGTTATACCTTTGTCTGATGTCGAGGCTTCTACCGTGGTCATGGCTTTCTTCAGTCGTTCGGTTGCCATTTTCGGCGCTCCCACCACAATCACGACTGATCGCAGTACTCAATTTGAGACTTACCTCTTCCAGTATATTTTCTTCTTTCTAGGCTGTACCCGCATCTGCACTACAGCTTATCACCTGGCTGCCACAGGGATGGTCAAGCGGTCTTTCCACCAGCTGAAGGCCTCTCTACGCACCACGGCCGATCCGCCGAACTGAACGCATCATCTCTCCGTGGTTTTGTTGGGTCTCCGCTCCTCAAGTCGGACCTTGAGTACTCCGCCTCTGAAACGGTGTTCGGCGCCACTGTCCGAAGTCCCAGTGAGCTTATATTGCCATACCCTCAAGGTGCGGTTGAGGGTCCTGAAAACGTTGTGTATCGCCTACGGCAGTTTTTGCGGACGCTATCACCGGTTCCACCCAGGACTTCCGTCTCCGGGTCTTATCTCGAGATAGACTTGGCGATATGCTCTCACGTCATTCTGCCATGTGATCGAGTTAACCGGCACTTGGAACCACTCTATGGGGACGCTGGAGATGCAACCCAGCGAGGCAACAGCCACCCGAGACACGTCCTCCGGGTTTTGTACACAATAAACCCTTCTCCGTTTGGATTCCAGACTTATGCTCTTCTTATTGTGTTCTTACTTGGGGGATTTCAACAGGGCGTTATTCAACGATGACACACGTCAGCTGTCATCGTTACCAACAAAAACAACGCTGAACACGTCGTTATAACACTGGCGACGCAGGTGAGATTGATCCCCCGGATGGTACAACAATATGTGACGCACATTTCAACATGTGTATTTCCGCAGAGCAATTGCTGTTCTACGAAAGTGTCGTGATCCCAGCCGCCGCCACACGGCGTTGGAGTCTTCACATCATCGGCGACACTGCCAGTTGTCACCCCAGCAACATGGCGTCGAAGAACTCATCATTTCTATCATCGCGGAAAAATTGCCGACTATCATGAAGCACCTTACAAGCATGGGTGACGCTCATTCCACCATTCGTATTTCCGTTACAACAACTGACGGAGATAAAGGTGTGTTTCTGTTATAACAGGCCTCCGATGATCACATCGCGCAAAAAGGTCATGAATGTTTCTCAGTTTGTTACCGTTAGAATATGCCTTCGATGATCACATCGCGCAAAACGGCTATCAATGGTACTGGAGGATTTCTCCG